ATCGCTGGGATCTGTTCAAACCGTCGTGCGATGTTGTTTGCAAATTTCGCTCTCGTGTCCACCGAAGAAATGCACAGCAAAAATGCAGGCCAAGGAATGTTCATGATATCTGTTCAGATAAATATTTAGTATTTACTGTTTACGTTTAACCATTCTGTCAAAAGCAGAACTCGATATAGTTTCTCTAGTCGCACTGCGGGTTTATCGCCATTTCAATTCTCACTTGAACAGGTGACCGACCATACTGACGCCAGAAGTCGTTAATCTCTGCTTGTGACTACCGAAGAAAGGCTTCTGAAGTTGACTCATTGCTCGAACCTTGTTATTCCTGGTTTGTGCCAATCTAATTTCCTTTTCACCAAGCGTTGTATCCAAAGTTATTTCCAAGGATATTTTCCGTTCTGTTATTTTCTTTCTACTTTGCCGTTTTTATTGTTCACTTCTTATGTATACGAACGATTTTGGTCTAAACTATACGATCATCAGACATCATAAATCTCAGGCTGTCAGTTGTCGCTGTTAAAAATGCACCTAAAGATGATGATGACGAAACAACCATAAAAACTGTATATGAGTTTATGCAATCTTTCACTACAGTTGCGAACATGTTTTGTTACGGAAGGATGATTATTTACAGCATCACTCAGCAAAGCAATGTTAGCTCCATATTCTAGACAATTCCATATGCTTGCCAAGCTTCTGGGGTCACATCGTTTAATTTTGCAGCTGAGCATGAAGTCAAAATGAACATGAATTTCAAGATGTGATCTGATTCTATAGTGAAAAAAATAGAAAAACTTGTTTCAAAATACCACGGACTTCGCATATATTCATGATTCTTTTTTTCGTCGCTCATTTTACAATGACAATGACGACATGGAAAACTATGCAGTACTATAAACCTCAGTGTTGTGAGTCTTATTTTACTCTTACTCAGTAGCTTTTTCTGATATTCTATTACATGGTAGAAATTCAGGACGACTTCATTTAGCAAATTTGATGTGCCCATTAGCTTTTGTTCAGAGGCAATCTAATGAACGTAGATTAATTAGACCTGCAACAGGTGTTTTAGTCAGCCGTAAAAATAATTTATACGCATACGCCTGTGTTGTTGTTATCTAACACTGCACCGATATGCCGTTTTTGCTCCATTAAACAGGAACACAGTTTTGCCATAACTGTCTTAATCTTGGCGAAGTTATCCGTTTGTTTACTGATAACTGTCGATTTAAGCGTCATCTACTCGTGTCTGCTGCTTCAATGTTTAAATTACACTGGTGTGCTACGAAGGAAT